CCTAGTCGGCAGACAGACAGGTGAGCCGGCAGGTGGACAGGTGAGTTGGCAGAAGGACAGACAGACAGAGAGACAGACAGACAGACAGGTGAGTCGGCAGGCGGACGGGTGAGTCGGCGGACAGGTGAGTCGGCAGATGGATAAGTGAGTCGGCAGGTGGACGGGTGAGTCGGCAGGTGGACGGGTGAGTCGGCGGAAAGGTGAGTCGGCAGGCGGAAAGGTGAGTCGGCAGATGTACAGGTGAGTCGGAAGGTGGACAGGTGAGTCGGAAGGTGGACAGGTGAGTCGGCAGATGGACAGGTGAGCCGGCAGGTGGACAGACAGACAGGTGAGACTGACCCATGTCAACGAAGCCAGCGAGGGCGCTGTACATCCCCCGAGGGAAGGACGACTGACGGCCCAACAAACACCGAGTCCCGTCAGACACCAGAACCAGAACCACCGGAGACATCTGCAGGTGAACAGGTGAGTGACACTCAGGTAACAGTCAGATCTACTGAAAATAACTAAAAACCTGTTGACCAAAAACAATAAGTGTTAGTATTTTTGTTGATTTAAAAAAAGCGTTTGATCCTATTAACCACAGTATTCTTTTTGAAAAGCTAAATAAATATGTTTTTAGAGGACCTGCATTACAGTGTGTATCTAGTTATTTGGAAGACAGAAAACAATTTGTACAAATAAATAATATAAGATCTGAGTTTTGTAACATCTCACGTGGAGTGCCGCAGGGTTCCCTTCTCGGACCTAAGTTATTTAGTTTGGTCAATGTGTCGGGACTTTTTGGGTGTGTTCTATTTGCTGACGATACAACATTCTTTTGTTCCAGTAAAGATATAGAACAAATGTTGGAGATGGTACAGACAGAATTCATGAAAATACAAAATTTGTTTCAACTAAATAAATAATTAAACTTGGACAAAACAAATTAAATGATTTTCAGAAACAGTAAGAGAACTGTAGATGTTTCATTTAAAATTGATGATGTTGAGATCTGTAGAGTCAGTGAAGAGAAGTTTCTGGGTGTCATTATTGATGAAAAACTGACAGGGAAAAATCATATAAATATTTTAAGAACAAAAATAGCCAAATCTATTGGAGTCCTGTACAAAGTAAGAGAACTGTTCAATGATAAAGCACTGTTTATGTTGTATAACGCTATAATTGTTCCACATTTAATTTACTGTATTGARGTATGGGGTAAAGCTTGTAAAACTATCAYAAATCCTATTTTTATTTTACAGAAAAGAGCTATAAGAATTATTACTAGAAAAAAATTACAGCCATCCATCTAATAAATGGTTTTATGAATTGAAATTATTCAAATTCTATGATTTGGTTGATTATAATATGTTGCTGTTAAAGTAGAGATGTTCATAAAGGTGTGTTACCTTTCAACATTCAGGTAAATTTTGTTAAAAGAGAGAGAGCTGTTATTATCTTAAAGGAATTGAAATGTTTGTGAAACCCTGGTTTCATACGAGCCTGAAGGAGCGATCCACTTTAATCCAGGGATTAAGATTATAGAACGGTCTGGAAAATGAGGTTAAAAATGCCAGATCTTTGTATATATCAAAGATAATGATAAAATCTAGTATTCATAAGTGAATCTATGCAAATTGTTGTTTGAGTTTAGCTTTGTTTTTGTGTGTTTTCTGTTGTTTTGATTTTTGTTGTAATTTTCTTTCATTTTGAACATTCTGTATTCTTGGGATAAAAAAGGGGCAGATGTTATAAGATTTATTCTTCTTTCATGTTTTTTGTTCTTTGTTCTGTATATAATTGTTACAAATGAAATGAATTAATTTCTAATAATAATAATAATAATAATAATAATAATTATTATTATTATTATTATTATTATTTAAAAAAGAACCAATCAGAACCGGTCCACTGAAGTGAATCTGTTACAGAGAACTTATACATGGATCTTCTTTTGGTTCGGTCCTGGTTCTGGTTCTGGTTCTGGTCCTGGTCCTGTTCCTGGTTCTGACCACCAGTATTAACACAGATGACCGACGCGTGTTCCGACTGATTACCTGTGGGTAGGAGATGATGGAGCTGCCGCTGCAGACCCTCTGGCTGCCAGCCCGGTTCCGTTGGGTCGGCTGCCCTGTGGCTCCACAGAACCTGTTGACCTGGTGCCAGCGCAGCAGAGCCTGAGCCTTCAGAACCAGAACTTGGATTAGATCACATGAACCAAACTTGGGTTTCTGGACCGTCGCAAAGAACAGAACCTCAGGGTCCAAATGTCACCTTGGCCACCAGAGGTGCCTCGGGTTCGGTCAGAAGAAAGAAGGCTTTCCTCAGGTCCACGAAGGTTCCGTTACACTCTGCTTCGACTGCTGCTCGGTCCAGTTCTCCTGGACACACAGCAGAACAGAACGTCCAGAACCGGTGCATCCAGGTTCTCACCACGGAGTTCAAAGTTCTGAAATGTTCTCAGAGTGTGAAACTATAATCTGGGATTACCAGGTTCTTACCCACATCCAGACAGAACTGAGCCCGGTTCTGTTCTGAACAACCAACCAGAACCGACTCCTTCAGCAGGGATCCGTCAGAACCAAGGTTCTCCAGAACCGACTGAACATCTGGAAGATAAAAACACAAACTGCTGAAGAGAGGAGTTGATGTGTTGGAAAAAAAAGGTTCTGGTTCTACAGCTGGTTCTGGAACTGTGGTTCTACAGGAAAGAACAGTTTCCGGTTCGGTATCACGGGTTCTATTTTTTGTTCTGTGATTCAGAACCGGAGGTGCTGGTCCAGGTTCTGAAGCTGAATACCTGAGCAGGTGAGAGGAGCCAGAGAGAGGGTTCCTCTGGCTCCGCCCTGCAGCAGCGGAACCAGGTGGTGGAACAAGAACACAGAACCTTCCTGAAGAGCTGCAACACACGCCTCCTCATCGTTCTTCAGCCTGTTCAGGTACCTGAGAGGGAGGGAGGGGTTCCATCGATCAATCAATCAATCAATCAATCAATCAATCAATCAATCAATCAATCAATCAATCAATCAATCAATCAATCAATCAATCAATCAATCAGTCAATC